TATATATATATATATATAATGTGTGTGTGTACGCAGCATGTCTTTTTATTACTGATGGTCTTTTACGTGTGTTACTTGTGTTTACTTTTATAGGTGTTACTTGTTGGCATACTTATAAACACCTACTATATGTTAAGCCCATGTACATTTGCTGCATATGGAATGTGCTCTTTACAATTGTCACTAATTATTAATTAATAATGACAATAATGACATGTAATTATTGTCATTATTACAATCAACTAACATGTAATGTCAATGTACAGTAAAATTATGGTTAGGGAGATTTTACAGAGAATAACTGACAGAGCAAGGAGAGTCAGTCACCACATATCTTGCAGAATTACAATATTTACTGTACCTACCTCCTAATTCATTTAACATGCTTGCTAAAAAGATCTAGATATACAGTAGATATGGATTACCTATATTTCAATCAATGTTTTTCAATTTTTGTATATTTTTACAGACTGTGCATTATTTGCATTAAGCTGGCGGAAGGTAAAGTTGCAGCATGCAAGGACTCTGGTCCATTTGTGAACCAAAAAGTATATGCAAATCCATCTGCAGATTTTTTTTTCAGTTTTGGATAGAGTAAGGGACTGTTATAACCCTTGTCAGCTTTATTTAACATCTGTGTCCAATCGGGGAGATTTCCCTTTGTTTCCTGTCTGATAGCCACAACAGGAAGAGGGAGTAAATTCTTCCACAAAAGAGGGAAATCCCTGGTGGACAGCAGGGTCAGCAGAACTATTATCCATGGAAGATTTCCCATCTATTCCTCTTTCACTTTCTGTAAAAAAAGGTCACCAAGACAAATAAAGAGTGTGAATCTCTCTAACACTAACACAGACACTAATAACAACCTGACCGGTGTTCTAATTCCTCTCCACTCTATCCAAAACTAGAAAAAACGTTTAAGTAATCCTGACATAAAGCAAACATGGAGGTTGTGATTGTTGTCATCTTCTTCTGATAATGCTAGTTATCTGTATACATAGCCACCACTCCAAGTTCGCTCCAGTGATAGACTACAATCTCATGTTAGTTTACTCATTTTTATTGAGATTGTAATCCATCATGGGAGTGAGTTTAGAGAGGTGGCTACTGTAAAAAAACACACAGGGACCATGGGAAACAAAAGTAGCCACCCTCCAGAAGGAAGGACAGTGTCGGCACCAATTCAGAGATGATTTGAGGATCCACAGCTGAGTGATACATAAATAAGATACATTTTTATTCATAGAAAAATATTACTAGCAAAATACTAAAGACATATTATTGTAATATACACAAATACACAAAACAGTGGGAACAAGAGTCATGCCCTCAACAGCTTGCCATCAATTCAATAAAAATGTTTAAATACAGCCCAAGCCATTCAACTGTTTTTCTGAAGGATAGAGTTAGCAGCAAAGGAATACCTAAACTTTTTAGCTTTTACATTCATGTAAGAAAGATTTAGCTAATCAAACTTTTTGTTCAAAGTACAGGATTTCTCATCTTCCAGCAGGACATCCAATCACATTACCATTCTTATCTCACTCAGACAGATTTTAGAGGTTGAATATATGTAGTCCGAATGTAAAAGATTTCATTTATCCCAGTGCAGAGCCTGAATACTGGGGATTAAACATCATCTGCCTAAACACTAATTAAGTGTACTCTGATGTTTAGTCTCTGTATCCAGAAATGTTATATAGTAGTGTAACCAAAGGGACCCCAAACAACATACATTTTAATGACTATATTAGGCAATGCATGAGGAAAATGCAGAATTCTTAAGTTTTGATGGGAGTTGCTAATAAAACAAGAATTAATTGAACACAGATAAAATTATAATAAAAAGGCAACAAAAACAGCAATCGAAATATTCACAAAAAAGCAAGTGTTGCCCAGAGTCTAGTTATAGTGGAGAGATTACATCGCTAGGAGATGGAAAGTGTGCCTAAAAAAGAGTTAATCTATGACAAAATTAAGGGGTAATATAGGTTATTACTTGATTGGCTGTGGAAGACCAGGTGTGCGCGCATAACATCAAGGAATTTTGACTTTGACTTTCATGGTCAGCTTGGGACATGTAGCCATAGGAGGAATATTTTTTCAGCCAAGGGTCATTTTGCAGGGTTTAGTAGTACTTGATGTTAAATCAGACCTATACTATAAAATCAAAAATTTGACTTTCAAACAGGCATTCATTAGACATAGAAAACAAAAGGGAACAGAGCGCCACCTCTGTGTGTAAAATCGTTTATTACAATAAATACAACAATGGATAAAAGTACTCGCAAACAAACGTTTTTATCAGGCTTTAACAACAAACGAGAGGCCACACTGTCTGTTAACCCAACATGGTATCCCCCCGACTATGTAACACGGTAGTCTCCGGTCACATCACTGTCCACCGACCGCAGTCAGCCAAGATTGACGCATTTCAGGGGCAAGCCCCCTTCCTCAGAATCATCATTAGACATCAAAATCATTCATTAGACATAATAAGACATTGCCACTTTATCCTATAATTCCTTATATGATGTAAGAGAGCACCTGTGCACCTGTGACCGTGCTTTACATCGGCTTATCAGTTTAGAAGCTAGGAAGAAGGTATTCAAGCCTGCTCTTAGCTTGAATAGCTTCTTTGAAGTGGAAAGGTGACACTGGGGTCTAATTCCCCCCCCCCCCCCATGTGATAGCAATGAAAATAAAGTAAAACATTTTATAAAATACATTTAAAAATGCCCAAAACATTTTGAAAGTTCCCTGTCCCTGCGAACGCACGCAAACTAACATGAACACACGTCAGGTGCACCTAAGTACAAAAATTATGATTGCGCTACATGATAGGTATTGCCATGTGTGCCAGAATGAGAGCAATAATTCTAGCCAATATTAATGATTAACTCTAAACTGATGACCTGTACAGGCTTTTAAAGAATCACCTACGGACAATTTGGAGTACCGTATTTTGTCACTGTTTCACAGGCACATGCAATTTTTAAGCTTGGCATGTTGGGTATCTCTTTACTTGGCAAAACATCATGTTTTAAATTTAACAAAAAAAAGGGGTTATTATACTGTGTTTTTGTGCATTAAATTAACTTAAGTGTAATCTTACTGACATTTTGGTTTTGATAAAGAGTTGTGCTAATATCATGTGGCAGAACAATTTGCAACCCCTGCCATTTTATTCTACATGATCTGTGCTTTTTAGGATAGATATAATTATTGGGAGATATAATTAATTTTCAGGCCTAAAATGTGGATTATAACGTGTGCAAAAAAGGGGGAAAAAACACCTTGCCAGCAAAAGGGTTAAACGGAAGCACTTTTTAAAATATTTTCTTATTTTATAACTTATGTGATGTGAAAAGGAACATTTAACCAATATATAAAAGGTATTATCCCAATTTGGCTACAAAAGTGGAAATACACTTTAAGCTGGTTAAAGACATATGGATACAGTTGGACATGGAAATGCAATCCAACAAACCCTGAGGGATGTCTCTTGGCTTGGCTGCAGCTAAACATTAATGCCCAGTTTAGTGCTAACATTCATTTTTATTCTTATGGGGGGAAAAGAAGAGATAAGAGCAGACAGACAGCTCTCAGTGGTGCTTATTTTTGATGGATCAATAGCAATCTAATAATCTGATGGGTTTTCAAACCCATGTGATCAATATTTAAATCCTGGCAATGTTAGGCAAAATTATGAGATTGTACAAATGTAATTTCATGTCTATTTAGACATAGTTTGCCAGTTTTATAGTAAGGACTGATTATCCTTCCATGTAGCATGTGACTAAAACCAGTGATAGCATAATAAGTTTGATCTGTTCTTTCATGCTCTTGCTTGTTTTTGTTCTATGCTTTTGATGCCCAGTTCTATTTACCTGCTCAGAACATATGTATTTGTGTGATCTCCCCTTGTTTGTAAGATGCTGGTGTTGTCTATTGTCTAATGCATTTCCCTACTGATGACTTATTTCCTTTCACAAAACAGCTGTTTTCAATAGGCATATTTTTAGAAGTACTAAATGCCTGAAAGAGTTATGTTGCAAAGCATTACCAAAATACCAGCGGCTGGGGCCTGTCTGTATATTTACCTAAAATGACCCGCCCTGACAAATGACCAGAGGTGGAAACTTCCTGGAATTGACCCGC